ACTTAATTCATATTAATTCGTGTCGATTAATTATATCGTATCGTGTCGAATTTTGAGACTCTTAGGCATATGGAATGTTATATTACTTTTGTATGTGAGCATGTGAGCGGTCACAAGGTATAAGTCCCTTGACAAGAGCTTAATAAACGATAAAAGTACTAAAAGAGTAATGAGAGGAAGAAGAAGAACTAATCCATCAAACACAACATTCTTTAGTCTGATAACCGTTGGATTGATGTGATAACAGTGAGTGGGCCCGTTGGTGAGTTTTCAAATCCACAAAATAGTGGAAGTCTTGCTCACTTGCTATGACTTTTGGGCTCTTCACCCATCAACACTCTCCAGGCTCTACCTCCACTAATTCATAAGCCCATCAATAAAGAATTTGAGTTTATCAATTTTAAGACATTAATTTGTGTTTTTCATGTCAATATATCGTGTCGAAAATTGATATCTCTGAAAAAAAAAAAAACCAATGAGTTGTTAGCCTAATGGATAAAAATTCGCATTTTCTTGTTCAATACTTAACTTCGAGTCTTCATAATTACGGTAGTTTATTAGGACTAAATCTACTCTTCACCACCCAGAGCATATGACGGGACTTTCACTTCGGGCCCGACATAAGTTCGATAGAGTTTCCTGCAGATAACTGGGTGGTGTTGAGCGACAATGTTTCCTGACGGATATGTGGGATGGTCAATCTACATATTCATTTTTAGCACCAAAAAAAATAAAATTTTGATTTCTTTATGTTTAAATTTTACAAAATAAAATTCGCAAAGTGTGATGTGGTAAGTACAAGTCTGTTACCACATCAATGAATTAAAAAAAAAATCCATAACATTTTTTTTTTTTTACCATAAAACAACTCTAACACTTTTACTTAAAAACAGAAGTGTCAAAGCGTCCATATAACTATAACATTTTTCTTTACAATATTTTGTTCTCTCTTTTTTTTTCAATACTATAGTGGTCTATTTTTTTTTTTTCTTTTTTTTTTCTTTTCTCTTCTACTAATATCACGATTAGTCCAATGATAAAGAACACATTGGTCTACTAAAAGTAGCTCAATTGGTACTCATCTTTGTTCTTAAATATCTGTCGTTTAAGATTTTTGTACGGGAATTAAGGAAACTATTAAATAGCTCTAATATGAGTAAAAAATAATTAAACAAGACTAAAATACCCTTATTCAATACGTATTGGGAAAGAAAGGAATATGAAAGACACTTAGCCTCCACCTAATCTAATGCATTGAAAAGTTAAGGGTAAATTTGGAAGAAAAAATATTAATTATGCTTTGGTTTCATTAAAAGACAGATATTATAAAACAAAAAAAATTGTGTAAAACGACATATATTTACGAACGAATAGAGTAATAGAGATAAATTATAAATTCAAATATTTTACATTGGAATCTTGACAATCTCTTAATGTCAAGTCATGAGACATTTTTATCTTTCATAAATACTCTACTCCCAATATAAATAATCTACGTTTAAACTGACTCGAGAACGTGAAAAAAAAAAAAAAAAAACAAGCAAACCAACAAACAAACAAACAATGGTCACAGACTAACCGGCCCCTTGTCATGGTTGAATTCATGCCTCGTCATGTGGGTTGAATTCAGACTAACCGGCCCCTTTGACAGGTCTCATTCGAACACGACCCGTTTATTAAACGTTTTTGACATGTCAATCCGTTTATCACCCAAACTCATTAAGATCTCACTCAAATTCACTTAATTCATATTAATTCGTGTCGATTAATTATATCGTATCGTGTCGAATTTTGAGACTCTTAGGCATATGAAATGTTATATTACTTTTGTATGTGAGCATGTGAGCGGTCACAAGGTATAAGTCCCTTGACAAGAGCTTAATAAACGATAAAAGTACTAAAAGAGTAATGAGAGGAAGAAGAAGAACTAATCCATCAAACACAACATTCTTTAGTCTGATAACCGTTGGATTGATGTGATAACAGTGAGTGGGCCCGTTGGTGAGTTTTCAAATCCACAAAATAGTGGAAGTCTTGCTCACTTGCTATGACTTTTGGGCTCTTCACCCATCAACACTCTCCAGGCTCTACCTCCACTAATTCATAAGCCCATCAATAAAGAATTTGAGTTTATCAATTTTAAGACATTAATTTGTGTTTTTCATGTCAATATATCGTGTCGAAAATTGATATCTCTGAAAAAAAAAAAAACCAATGAGTTGTTAGCCTAATGGATAAAAATTCGCATTTTCTTGTTCAATACTTAACTTCGAGTCTTCATAATTACGGTAGTTTATTAGGACTAAATCTACTCTTCACCACCCAGAGCATATGACGGGACTTTCACTTCGGGCCCGACATAAGTTCGATAGAGTTTCCTGCAAATAACTGGGTGGTGTTGAGCGACAATGTTTCCTGACGGATATGTGGGATGGTCAATCTACATATTCATTTTTAGCACCAAAAAAAATAAAATTTTGATTTCTTTATGTTTAAATTTTACAAAATAAAATTCGCAAAGTGTGATGTGGTAAGTACAAGTCTGTTACCACATCAATGAATTAAAAAAAAAATCCATAACATTTTTTTTTTTTTTACCATAAAACAACTCTAACACTTTTACTTAAAAACAGAAGTGTCAAAGCGTCCATATAACTATAACATTTTTCTTTACAATATTTTGTTCTCTCTTTTTTTTTTCAATACTATAGTGGTTTTTTTTTTTTTTTTTTTTTTTTCTTTTCTCTTCTACTAATATCACGATTAGTCCAATGATAAAGAACACATTGGTCTACTAAAAGTAGCTCAATTGGTACTCATCTCTGTTCTTAAATATCTGTCGTTTAAAATTTTTGTACGGGAATTAAGGAAACTATTAAATAGCTCTAATATGAGTAAAAAATAATTAAACAAGACTAAAATACCCTTATTCAATACGTATTGGGAAAGAAAGGAATATGAAAGACACTTAGCCTCCACCTAATCTAATGCATTGAAAAGTTAAGGGTAAATTTGAAAGAAAAAATATTAATTATGTTTTGGTTTCATTAAAAGACAGATATTATAAAACAAAAAAAATTGTGTAAAACGACAGATATTTACGAACGAATAGAGTAATAGAGATAAATTATAAATTCAAATATTTTACATTGGAATCTTGACAATCTCTTAATGTCAAGTCATGAGACATTTTTATCTTTCATAAATACTCTACTCCCAATATAAATAATCTACGTTTAAACTGACTCGAGAACGTGAAAAAAAAAAAAAAAACAAGCAAACCAACAAACAAACAAACAATGGTCACAGACTAACCGGCCCCTTGTCATGGTTGAATTCATGCCTCGTCATGTGGGAGCCACATTCAACTCCAATTTAACCAGATCAATGGCGAGGAATGTGACTGTGACAACCAATACCCACATCACACGTGACACTAAACAAATTTTTTTTTCACAAAGGCTCACTGGTTGAGTATTCAATATTTTGACTTTTTTGAAGATAAATTATACTTTTATGCACTTAATTATGACTCCTTGTCACTTTATCCCCTTAACTATGTAATTAATTTCACATTACCCCAATTATTAACGTCTATTACATATTTAATGAAAAATTATTTTATTTTGCCCTTTGAACTATGTAGTTTTTTTCATGATACGTCAATAATTTATGTCCAAAAAGATAATGAACTTTTACAATTGAAAAATGTAAAATAATCAAAATAGTTGAAGAAATAATATGAAAAATTCATTAATTTAAAGGACGAAATAAGATTGAGTCCATAGTTTAAGGATCAAATAATAAATTACCCTTATTTTGATCAACATCAAGTCATGCTCATGGACATAATATTTTAAATATATTTTTCATTATCTGCACACCTAAAAGAAGTTACGGAGAGAACCAACCCACCACCCCCAACAAAAAGGCCAAACTCTCTTTGTTTCCTTCTCCTTTTATGTTGTTCTATATGGTTATTATGCCTTTTCTTTTCTTCTTTTCTCAATTTTCTGCTTTTCAAAACCAGAATTAATATTAAATTTAGATTATATCTTCTTAAGGAGTTTGAAAAATTAGAGGTTCATGATTTTAAATTAGTATAAAATCACATTATTGATTTCCATTAAATAAGAATTTAAAGAAATTAAAATTAAAACAAATTCTAAAATATTGAGATCGATTCCAAACTTCTCATTTTGTCATTATCTTCTCAAATTGAGTTTGTAAAATTATTTTTTGTATAAGAATAAAATTATTCTTAGTTTATATTATGTTTTTGTATGATATCGGAATTTAATTTTTTAGTAACATAGTTTTATCTTTCCTTTAATAAAAAGAAAAAAGAGTTTAACAAATTGAGGTACATAGAAGAAAAGTCTGTAGTCAACAAGATTGATGCAATAACAATGTTCCTCTGCTCTCTAAGTCCATACATAGTTAAAAAAATAAAATTAATTTTGTTTAAGTACAAAATAAAAAGAAATTGAAAGATTACAATAACATCAAAATAAAGCAAGAGAAAGCTGAAACATTTACTTCATATACAATACAAGAAGAAGAGGTCATAGACAACCACAACCCCCTTCACATTTCACCTTCCTTTCTCTATCATTTGTTAGATTCCTCAAATGGTCTCCTCTTTTTCCAGTTGATTGTACTGAAAAAAAAAAAAACCCCATCTCAATCCCTGCATTTCTCGTTGATTTTGGCTATTTTCAGTGGTTTTTCTGGGACTTTAGATACGACTCCTATGGGTCTTTTTGGGTTTTTGGTGTTTTCTGCAGAACCTCTCTGGGTCTCTTGCTGAAAAGCCTTCTATGCCCAGTAGCATACATGTCATAAAAGGGTTGAAGAGAATAATCATACATATGTATTCATAATTTTACATTTTTGTTTTACTTTTTCTCAAAGAACTAGTTTTTTCCCTTCTCTCCTTTCAATTTTCTTTGCAATTTTGCTCATTTGAGATTTAACGAAAAGAAAAAAATTAGGGAGACATGGGAAAGCAAGGACCTTGCTATCACTGTGGTGTTACAAGTGAGTTTTTGTTTCTAGAATTCATCTTTTCCATCTAATTTTGAATATTCTAAGAAAATGGGATATTAATTTTTGCTCTACCGTTTAAGGACTGTTGTAATATTTTGTAAATTGTTTCGTATGCTTAGATTAGTTGTTCAATCATGGGAGGGAACACCCACATGGGATTTTGTTTCTAAAACGAAGAGATTACCTGGGCAAAGAAAGATAATGAGGCATATGTGATGTTATCAATTTTACTCAGTTTTTTTTTGAGCTCTTTTGTTCGTGTTATTGGAACTTTACACATCTTCCAGTGCCCTTGAGTTTTTGAATTTCAATCCTAGTCTGAGTTTGAGTTTGTCTGTGAAATTGTGTCTTCGAATGCAGTTTTTCAGCCTTTTTTCTTCCTCTTGGGTGGGTGTTTAGTGCCCTTTGACTCTCTCTCACCATATGTGATAATGAGAAATGTAGCTAGGGGTCTGTTTGATAATTGAGCAGCGACAGAACCTATAATCGATCCCCTTTGCTTTCCCCCAATCCTAATACACAGTCAAACCTTGGTTTCTTGCTGCTACATATCTTCTAAAGTTTCTGATCCTATAAAAAATGTACTTTCTCTTGCAATTGTGTTATTAAGATTTAGTTCGTATATTGTTATCCCTAGGAGAGAAGGCAGGCCAAGAAATTACTGCCAAAAAAATGAATCCGGTGTTTGTTCTAATTCATCTTCTCAATCTTCAACCGTGGCGAGTGTTCTTTTCTGGATTATATTTTGGTTGTCTCTTATTTTCATTCTTCTTTGATGGCTTATGGTTAGGGGAGACATCACTTGATTGTTGTGCAAGTTCATTCTAATTTAACCTCCCATTCAATGCTCATTCTAAATTAATCTCTTTTTCAATGGAAGCTGTTCTTTACCAATCATATTCCAATCTATCTTGCTACTGGTTGCTTAGGTGCTTTTGCATTTGCACTAAACAGTTTAAATTGTGTTAGGGATTACCATTCATACTGAAAGAAGTTGGCTGCCTGTTTTGAAATTTGGGGTTCGTTATAATAGCTGCCATTCCACCACCTGTCTTCAAGGATTTCTATAAGTTGATATGACTTCAGCAACTTCACTCAGCTGGAAAAGATTATTCAAACTATTTGAATTTGGTTATACAAATTCATTTTTGCTACAGCCTGATGTGGTTGCTAAGCCCTGTTGCCTTCTGGCAACTTCTCTAATTACTATCCATAATATTATACTTAACCATCTGTTCTCTCTTTTTTTTTTCTGTTGCTTCTACTCTGTTTATTCATTAAACTTAGAAGGAGGAGCAAGGACTAGCACATTGGGGGTTGCTTGCCTCATCTCACCTCATCATTTGGTTCATTTATATTGAGGAAACTGGTTCCATAAACTAATGATATATAAGGTTCCGAAAGAATGGAAGAAGTGTTCGCACTTTAAACTCAAATTAACAACTTACTAATTTTTTTTTTTTGTTTTAATCGAATTTGTCATCTTTTCTAACAAATTTTTTGCAAGTGAAACTTTTCAAATATTCCTCGCTTTTGTGTTCTTGTCTGTCTTCATTTATCCATTGAGAGACTCTTGGATGCTCCCTAAGCTCTTCTTCTTTTATGCCTAATTAAACTGTCATCACTGGACTCAAACCATGCTTAAAATTTTACACCTCTAAGTATGAGTTGTACAGAGAGCACTATTAGCACCCTCAATGTGTTCTTATACAGAGGTATGGGCTATGTCTCCAACAATTTCAAAAATTGTAGTTTGATGCCAACCATCTTCTTCGTGGAGTCATGGAGAAGATGCCTATGAAGACCAAATACGTTTGTGGTGACATGCATATGTGTACCTAATGTCATCACTTCTCCATTCTTCCATGTTTTACTCATCTCTGTATGTACATGAATGTATTTTTTGCTTCTAAATGAGACAATTCGAAGATTCAAATTGCAGTTTCACTTTGTTATTCCATGCTTATGTATTGTACATCTTTTGTCATTTTTCCCACAATTGATTATTCTGTATAGTTTGCTGACAATCAAGTTATGCTACAGACACCCCTCTTTGGCGTAATGGGCCACCAGAGAAGCCAGTCCTTTGCAATGCGTGTGGATCACGTTGGAGGACAAAAGGAACACTTGCAAACTATACCCCACTGCATTCTAGGGCAGAACCTGACGAATTTGAGGATTACAGGATTTCAAGAGTGAAAAGCATATTGGTTAAGAACAAAGAGGGAAAGGTGCTAAAAAGAAAGCAGAATCATGAAAATGCAGTACTTGGAGGGGCTGCTCCTGACTATAATCGGAGTCTTAGGAAGGCTCTAGATGAAGATACAAGTAATAGATCAAGTTCTGGTTCTGCCATATCTAACTCTGAGAGCTGTGTGCAGTTTTGCAGTGCAGATGCAAGTGATTTGACAGGTAGGTTGGTTTGTCTGTGGGGCATTTAATTTATCTGTATCATAATTCCCATACTCCTTAATCTCAATTCCCACCCTTTATGCCCTTTTGTTGTTTAGACCCCTATAGACTACATTTTTCATCATTAAGGGTCAAGATTTGAACATTGGCCATTCAATTGAATACGCTGAGGGATGATTATACTGCAGTTTAAATTCGAATGTGCAAATCATAATAGCAAGTTTTTTTCTTCGTCGCCATCAGTGCTTTGCAAATTTATTTCACATTGAGTATTCAATATCTTTAGTTTCCATCAGTTCTCCTCGGTTCCTTCTTTCCCTATTTATTTTGGTGTTCTTAGTTTTTCATCCTTCCTACGGCATAGTATAAAGCTGCTCTGTTGATGTATTTTACTCATAGAGTTTCTAAATATACCTGACTCCTTTCAGGCCCAGCCCAATCCATTGTATGGGATGCAATGGTACCATCAAAGAAGAGGACTGGTGTCAGTCGTCCAAAGCCATCTCCGGTTGAGAAACTTACTAAAGATTTATGTACCATCTTACATGAACAACAGTCGTCATACTTCTCTGGATCTTCTGAGGAGGATTTGCTTATTGAAAGTGATAAACCAATGGTATCTGTTGAGATTGGACATGGAAGTGTACTTATTAGGCATCCGAGTTCAATAGCTCGAGAAGAAGAATCTGAAGTTAGCTCTCTTTCAGTTGATAACAAGCTACACCCCACCAATGAGGCATATTCACGGTTGTCTACCTTTCCCGTGCACATTAATAACAAGGGTGTCAACTTTCCAAGTCCAGGGATGGGGAAAATCAAGAAGGGTTCTGAACAGGCAATGGAACAAGAACAAATTAAAAGGTACTTTCTTCAATAAATTTAGCTCAAAGAAGTAGTATTTGCATTAAATCTCCAACGAATTGTTGCTATTTCTGTAAGAAGGAAACATGGATACGAGTCATACAACATGCCTGATAGGGCAACTCCACACAAATCTGAGATGCTGTGCAACTACGAGCACACCTATTATGCTGCACAACACCTATACAAGGTCTTCACTACAGTGCAAAGGAACATCTGAGAAACATTTTCGATATGAATCCCGTGGTTCTGAGTTGCTTAGTCAGCATGTTGGGCCTAGGGGTTACCAGTTTGCCTTGAATATGTTATATGAATAGTCACATGGACTTTTGGATTGGAGAAAAAGGTTATACGAACTGGTGTGAATCTGCAGAAACTCTAAACCCATTGTTTGGGAGATATGAGAAATATTTTCTTCTCTAACTAATATTCTTTCTGATTTTCCAAACAGAAAGTATTTTATCTTTCTGATTATATACGTCTGTTGTAATTATGAGAATTCTTTGCTTCACTGTATAACTATTTGTCTTTGACTTGATATACTTCTGTTGTAATTGCAGGGACAAGGCTCAGCATGAAAAACTCCATATTCTGGGAAGTTATAACTCCCTGCTATGTTATGTAGACCTAAAAGTAAGTTTCTTGTTTCTACTTCTTTGATGATATGATTGGAAGAGAAATGCAAATTGTCTTCATCCAATAATCGGGCTAGTGCGGTTCTCCACATGATGAACCGCAATTCTCATTGTGAAAATGTCCTCAATGTTCAAGACTTTTGTGTTGAACGTGTGGATTGTGGACCTAAAATGAATGTCAACCTGTAAGAATTATTGTAATTGATTCTTAAGTTACTTGTGAGCACTTTATACAAGGGAAAACCACATAGGCTCCTTTGTTTTGTCAAGCGTCTTTGCAATCATTTGCATCCACTCTTAACTCATTATCTTGATTTTTTAATTTTTTTGCGAAGTACCTACTTATTTTCAAGGAGGGGAGGGGGTGATCCTGAATTTCAAATTTGGTGCTGCAATTGAGCTGGCTTATCTCGAGTATTTGTCATGAATCATGATCTGTATCCATATTTTGTGCAGGATGCTCTAAACTTCAACGAATTTGTTCGTCATTTGACACATGATGAACAAAAGCAACTGCTGAAGTACTTACCTTCTGTTGATATTGGCAGACTTCCTGACAGGTTTGTATTTTTGTACTTCATATTCAGTTTCTAGTTACCATGGTCAAGCACTGGAAATATACAGTTCAATTTGTTGGTCCATTATTATGGAATTGTGAACAAGAAGGAAAATTCGATGGACAGAAATTATTTGCATCCTTCATGGGAAATTATATTGCTGAAATCTTTTTTTTTGTGCAAGGGTTTTTAGTATTCATGTGGAATTAAAGTTGCCTGCTTAGTCAATAATAGCATTTTAGAGAACTAAGGCATATTTGGGAATGAAATTATCAGAAATAGTTAAGTCCTCTCTCCGTAGAGGCATACATATATATGTACATGCACACATATGTATAGAGAAACAATAAGATTGAAGTGACAATAAATATTGGAATCCCTAAGATAATCATATAGATAGTCTAAAGACTCATATGTGTCGCTTTCAGTGTTGTCTCTAAATGGTAATAAGACATTCTGGTTCTCACTTTTGGTGCCTTTTGTTTTACATTTACGTGAAGGGTGTCAAAGAAGCTATTGTATTGTGCAACACTGATAATGGCCTTTGATTTCTCATCCACAGCCTCAAAAGCATGTTTGATAGCCCTCAATTCAAGGAGAACCTATCCTCCTTCCAGAAACTTCTTGCAGAAGGTGTTTTTGATTTCTCTTTATCAGGAAAGGAAACTGAGGAGCGTAAAACTTTGAAGAGGCTTGCTTTATGCAATTCAACAAAATCCAAATGGGTGGAGCACTATAATCTACTCAAGGTTTGACTGAGTTATGTAAAAATTGAGTATCATGTTCTGGAAAAGTTATGGTATATCTCTTTCAATGTATGTACTTATTTTTTTGATTCTAATTCTGTTCTGAGTGTAGGATGTGACATGTAGAAGTAACACTGGTGAATCTGTAGTCAATGGAGAACTTAATGCCATTGCAGCTGGTCATTCAGTAAATGCAAAGGGATCAAAAGATTTCCAATATCAGAAATTTCCAGGTTAGGCAAATTTTTCATTGTTTACATGAGTTTGATGACTTCTAGTTTGTTTAGGCATTTGCTGTTGAAAATGACAATTCAGAGAATGTTTGAATAAAAAATTATTATAAAATATGATTGAAAAAGAAAGCATGAAAAGCCAAATAAAAGGAGTTTAAATAAGCTTATGGGATTTTTGTGCATATTTATAAACGACTTTCCTTGTTTTTTTCCTTAGAATGACTTGCCTTGTTTTTCCCCCCTATTTATGTTATATGGATGCTGCAAGTATCTGGGTCTTAGCTGTATCTAGTGTACATGCCTTAAAACCCATAAGTATGGCTGTGTAGTCCAAGTAAAACTAATTTGTCGGCTTCGACAAGGTGGAGTACACAAATTTTGGTGCCAAGTAGCTTGTCTTGACTGTATAAATAAAGAATGCTGGGGAATACCGACATATTTGGTAAGTGATCAGAATATGTGTTTCTTTTTTGGTTGACAAGCATTCCTTTTGAGTTCAATGCGTTTTACACCGCGAGGACCCCAATCTGTCCACCATGATCGATGGGCATGCTCTGAGTGTGCAGGTTGCAATGCTTGATACCAATTCAACAATTTTTCATATCATAAGTTAGTAGATTACAACAAAGGACCTGGAAAGTTAGTGGCTGGGCTTGAACACATAACCTGTTAGAAAATCCGAAGTTGCTTGTACTTAGCTATTATGTATTGTTCAACCAATAATCAGATGCTAAACATTCATACTTTAGAACATACTCTATATAAGCTTATATACATTCTTGCTTTTCTTGGGGCAAGTTACACACTTTCAAGGTGCTCTGAATCCTAGGCACTTTCAAACGTGGTGCACTTGCCCTCTCACTTCTGGTCTAATCCTCACTGCTGCTCTGCAAAATGGGCATTCAACCCCGACCCATACCTAACCAGTACATGGCCATACCAATGGGAGGGATGGGTTTGATAGAACAACTCATACTTCATAGGATCCACATTAGATACATTAAAATGAAACTGCAAACCAATCTTTCCTGCAATTTTCCTTTCCACTGTTGATCAGAAATTGATCCCTAAAGCAAATTTTGCTTTACGTTCTCTGAGCAGTTTCTTTTAACACTTTTCCCCTGCATTTTTTGGAAGATTTTGTCAAATATCTCCTGTTCTTTTCTTCAATCAGCCATAAGATTTCATTCACTTATATGCATACACCACCTGTTGCCAGCACAGTTCACTCCACCCTTTTCTCCTTACCTCTTATTTAAGCATATTCTCGTCTTTTGGTATCACCTACTAGACTTATGACATTGTTACTTGCATGTTGCTCTGCTGTTGTGACAGCCAAAGTTCTATTAGCCTTACAGTCCTCCTATCGAGGTGATTATTGGGGATCATCATGGCTCTACTTTGTCCTCTTTCCATATAAGTCGGTAACTATATCTCATCAGGGTTGCTTGTGTGGTGCTCTGATAGGCTGCAGGACAAATATTGTCATTAACATCCTAATGGTTTTCACAATTTAAGTTCCAGGCTTTAGAATGTTGTGCTTTGGGAAGTGGGAACTCTCATGCACTCATAATTACCTTCTTTGGTCCCATTATAAAAAATAACCACATTTCTTTGGAATGATTATGAATAGATGAGACAATAGTTGCTACTACTCTTGTATTTGTATGTGTAGTGTATCTGCTGAATATAACATAAATTTGAATCAGTTCATTGAAAATGCTTTTCAGGAGCAAAGATGATAATGAAGAGTCCCAAGAGGGTGATTATGAAAGCCAGCTATGAACACAAGGAACTTGGAGAAAACGATGGCTCCTGCTTCAGTCCGAAAAGCCTATTCGCCGTGCCTCCTGATAATAGCTCCCTCGTGCTTGACTCTTTCCATTTTGCTGATGAGTATTCTGATCAGGATCTGCTGCTGGATGTGCCATCCAATAGCTTCTTCCCACAAGCAGAACTTCTCATCCCAACTTCCAGTTTTGGCGCCCAAGCAAGCACTAGTAGTAGCTCATTATACCCAAAGCTTGTCTATCCCTGACAATGCATGTTGAGATGTGATTCCATTACTTGGGCTATTTAGGTAGCACCTCTGCGATAATTCATGATGTGCTACACATTTTACATGCCAAACATACTGATTTCTAAAATGAGGTGCAATGTTTGCCTTTCCTTCTTTTTGTTAAACTGGAATGCCAAGGTATGAATATGGCTGGTTTTTTTTTTTTTTTTTTTATATGTATAGGGTGGGGCCATAGTTTGATGAAAAGATTGTAATATATAGTTCAATATGCAGAAGAGGTCATCTGTGGAGTTTTTGTATGCAACTTAGACTTTTTTTTTTCCCTGGAAGGTTATGCAGCTGGGTTGGATTTCCTGTCTAGTATATATACTTTGATAGTGACAAGAAAGAGTTATAACATGGTGAACCGTTCATATATCTCTAGGTGCTATGATGTCTTACTATGCAACAAAACTTATACTTATGTGTGTTCTACATTATAACTACGGGCGAGACCAGTTATAGGATGATCGCCCAGTGGTGTTCTGCTCGATTAGGCGAATGCGATAGTTTCATAATTTGACAGTTTCATGTATGTCAAATACCTTGGTTATTTCTTTACTTACTATTCACCATCCTGGGACTATGTACATGAAATTCATGAGATCATCTAAATCATTAAAATTGGAACAAGCAGGTACATTTAACCAAAGCCAAGCCCGTTAATTTGTTGAATTGGTGACAGATTCAAAGAGTAGTGCAAATGCTTTGCTGGGAAGCAAATAACTCCATTGTAAGAACAATGAAGCTAGTGGCAGCCGGAAAAACCTTGACGGTGATGAAGAGATAGTGCCGTGCCACACTGGAAAATTGGTGCTCAATGATCTGAATTCTAAGCAAGTACTATGCTGCAAATTTGGTGTCTATGGCCATCAAACATGATTACTACAGAAAGTATTGAATCAAGCCAAGGTAATGTACACACTACAGTAGACTTCACTTTGTACATAAACTTGCCACCATACGCTTTACATATGCAACTTCAAGCTTCATCCAGGCATTCAGGTGCATCTGCAAACTACAAGAGTAGACTTTGGAACTGCCAATGCCTCAAGACATCACAACTTTAACCTTTTTAATTTATATACACACTACAGTAGTTTTCAACATAGAAACACCTAACAGCAACAAAATTTTCACTAGTAACAAGAAATCCTAAAACCAATCTTTCTTTCTAATCCATCACCTAATCATCAAACCCCTCCGGTGGCCACCATCTAGGCCGAGGAAATATCATACCACATCTCTTAGCAGTCTCCAAAAAATCAACACCCTCAGAACCATCTTCCACATCCCCTATTACCATCCTCAAAGCATCCAAAAGATCATTCAACGCCTTCTTCTTCGCAGGGTCACCCCTAGACCCTTTCCCCTCACTCACTTTCTTCTCTTGCTCTCTCATTGAAAATGGCAATTCACGCCTTGCCCCGACCCCAACACTGTCACCTTTCTCCTTCCTATACTGATCAAACCCAGCAGAACCAACATACTTGAACTTGTCAATATCTTCTATAATTTTACTACCCAAACCTCCTTTGCCATTACTGCGCATTCTTTTGCAAGTGCCAAGCATTACACCTTCCTCAGGTTGTCCTTTCATAGGCAAATCCACATTCATTGTGTCCTCATTCAACCCTAAACCTCCACCGGTTTCTTTAGAACTTAATTTAACTTCAGTTTGAGCAATTCCATCCGGGCTGTCGTCAACAATCATCGGCTCAGTATCACCTAGATGAACATTTGGACATTCCAGTTCCGATTTTTCCTCAAAAACCCTCGATTTTTTTGAAATATTCCCCTCGATTCCCTCTCCAATACCCTAAATTTATCCAATTCCATTTCAAAAACCTCATCAATTCTACGAACTCTACTGCAATCGCGACCCGAAACATCATCACTGCTATCACTTCTCTGGGTCAGCTTGGGATCTGAAAACCCTAGATTATCAGAATCCTTACGCAAATCCACAGCCGTCTCTGCTTCCGTACATCCTTCGTCAACATCTATAATCTCAGTATCGAGACGATTCTCGCCACCGGTGTTTTGATGACGGACGGCAGTGGTCGTCGCCGGTCTCTGGTCTTCGGAGCTGGTGGAAAGAGGCTGAGAGTGAGAGTGTTCAGGAGGGGTTCGAAATACATCTTCATCTTCTTGAGTTGGATTTTGGCTGTCCGGCAGGGACTCCATGATAATTCCGGCGGCCTCCACCGGAATCACGTTGGGCTCCGATGAAGACAACGGCGACGTATTGTCATCGAGGAAGAACTCAAATTGGCGAGCGAAAGGGCAGTTTTGTAATTTAGATTCTTGGGAGGAGGTGGGTTTGCAGTATTTGATGATTGAGGCAAAAGGGTCTTCGGCCATTTTTTAGAAGAGTTTTCGGGTTTGGCAGAGATGGTGAACACTGAGAGAGAGAGAGAGATTGATTTTATTTTATTTTGTTTTTGTTGTTATTATTTTATACTGGGTTTTGTTAAACTGTTAACGTTCCCGCCATTCTGTCCTCTCCCTCTCCTTGATGGGACGTTCCCGCCTTTTCGAACAACGGTGGGTTGACGGACGTTGATACGATATCGTTTTGAAGGTGAATTATTATAATTACATCAACCGTGTCGTGTGTTGCGGATTCGTTTTGGATTTTAGAAAGTTCGTGTCATTTCATTTATATTCAATTTATTTATTAGTTACGTCGTAAATCAAAAAAATTCACTTATTTTTTAAAACGTAAAATTATTCATAAAATTTTTAGATTGAGGACAAATTCGAAAAAAAAATAAAATTTTCAAAATTTGTGAATAATGCCTAAATTTTTTTAGTATTACTCTTGCTCCATTGCAAATCTAGCGCCGGGTCTCACTTGATAATTTCCCAAAGCTCGTACGCTCTTTCTTTTCATAAGTATCTCCCCAAGATTAACAAAATTATAAGATCATTTACTAAATTTGAAAGTTTGATTCTGATGGACTCCACGTGGTTGGATTTTAAAGATTAAAATGAGTGGTAAGTAAAAATGTGAGATTTTGATGTTTAGAGAAAAAGACGAGAATTTTAAAATTTAAAGACAAGAATTTAAACGGTATTTTGTGATCTTTAAAAATTGACCCAATATATTTTGCATTTTATTATCTCATTAGTGTTTTTTTTTTGTCCTGAATTATTTTCCTCCAAACCCACCTACAAGTTGCATATTTATTTTCCTTAATCTTCACCAAATTTGGACACCAATATATGTTTAGGCTTTGAAATTTTACCTCGACTACAATAAGAAATAAGACAAGATGCAATGCTTTCAAATTCGGAATCAGATCCAATCAAGTAAATATCCAACACATCGGTGGTGTTACGTCAACATGAGATATTGTTATTCAATAATAATATTATATACTCATCATACATATGATAGACATAAAATTCGATTCAACGTATATATTATTTGATGATTTATAAACTCAAAAAATGATGTGGATATTTAAATTGAGGAACTCAAGGCTTGTGCGTAGTAGAGTGAGAGTGAACGAAGAAGATAAAGATCAATCTAACGACTGAACACACAAGTTATAGTTGTTCACTAGCTAAAAAACTTGACTAATCCACTTTAATGAAATCTCTTATTTCTCAGAGGGACTATGTATTACTTAATTCATTGGATTTTTCTAACTATCTTTTTATGGAGAAGGCCTTTGTATTTATACCTTTGGGTGGGTGGTCCCTATGTCATCATCACATGATTCTCAACTTTGTTAATGTATTGTTTAAGAAATAGTGGATTTTTAGAGACTACATTCTTAGGTATGACGTGACTTTCTAAAACATATTGAGCTAGTCTTGTGACTTGTCTTCAAGCTTGGATGCATTGTGGTCTTTTGTATATTTGGAAGACCCTTGCTTTGGGACGAACTTCAATTCTTTTAGCTAACTCACGAGTAAATAAGCTCAGTCCAAACACTTATCCTTAGTTAGAGATGATAATTTCCTTCGAGGCATAGCATGGACGACCTGGGTTTATACATTTGAAATCATTCTTGGGCGACCTAGACTCTTAACTGAGGATGTGTACAAACAATTTTGATTTTTCATTTGAGGGTGAGAGTATAGCCATAAGCTTGAGAGACCGATCTTATCTGTTGGTTCTTTTCAGAACTCAACAACTATATAACATTTGATTTATTATTAATACCATTTTTGGGTATCATCACAGTTATCAAAACAATAGTAGGAATTTGATATCCTTTTGATAGTTAATTAGTAACTTATTGCTATTAATTAATTTATAATTTATTTTTTAAATAAAATTATTCACTCTCTCACAACTCTTTGTTTTCTCTTCCTTTCTCTTCCTAACCGTCTGAGAAATTGAAGAGATTAGATGGTCTAGATCCGTACATATTGATCATTAGTCCACATCAAACGACATCGTTTCCCTCATCCACCCCCATCACATCCCACAACCAACGTAAACCCGTCGCCTGTTCATTTCGCGCCAAGAGCTAGAAACCACAATACCCAAAACCCGGAGGGCAAAAGTGCAATAACCGAAAATCTCTCACTCTGCTTTCCATTTTCTGCCCCAAACCATTCTCTCTCTCTCTCTCTCTCTCAGTTAACCGTTGCTGAGACCTTTCAAAATCCCTAAATTTTCGATCACACCACTTGAAGCTCCTCCAATGGAGTCAAATATTTTCGAACAATGTCTCCACAATCATTCAGTTTAGAGCTCGAATTTTTCAAAAATTTTTGCGTATTTTTCTCTTCAGTTTTCTCGGCAACCAAACAGTGGATATCCTAGTAAGTTTGCAAGCATTGATCGCCATTACGAACTCTGAAGGTCGTGTTCAAACTCATCTTTTGATCAGGTACGTCTGCACTTGCATTTTCTTTGTTTGTGTTGTGACCTGCAAACCCTACTTCCTTTTACATTTTTTGTTGAACTCAGTGATATTTTTACATTTTTCTGTCCTGTTTTTACGTCCGTATGTTATTTTGATTTTTTGTTTATTAAATTTTCCTGTCAGTTTTCTCGGCAAGCAAACAGTGGTATAGTTTTTTCGTTTGTTGATTGAGAATGATGTCGTTGTCAAATGGGGTTTTGTATGATGGGAGTTCAAACAAACGGCCATTAGATGACGGCTATCACCCGTTTTCATTGAATAGTTTTCAGCCAATGTTCAAGTCGAGGAAGTTCTCGGCCGTTCGGGATTTTCCACCAGGGTGTGGACGAAACGCATCATTAATAGATGTGAATTCCCATGAAAATGCAGTACTGGTGGATGACAATAAGATGAGCAATGTTGTTGAGGTTGATTGTGTGAAATCTTCCCGAATTATGGTTGAGTCCCAATCTCTCGAAGTTGTGAAACGTCCAGCTCGGGAGGAAATGGATGAAGCCTTGGATGATTCTGGGGAGCAAGTGTTGGCTGCTGCTGGGATGGTTAATAAGGTTAAAAATGAAAAGTTGGGCACTGATGTGAAGCCACTGGGGATTGGACTGCCAAAGAGTTTGGAAAATAATGCAGTGGTATTGGCAAATGAATTGCGTCGGAGTGACGGTCAGGTTTTGGTCAATAAGGAATCAAATGAGGTGGAGGGTTTGGCTTCTGTGCCAAAGGAGTCGACTGAGTTGGGAGGTTCAGATTTGGTGAAGAGTGAGGGTCCGGTGGATGAGAAACCTTCGCTGGAAATTGGTGCTTTTACCGATAGAATGGTTCAAGGGGGTGGTGCAAAATCATGGTCACCGTCCCACTGGCCGATCAGTAATGGCAAAGTTGGGATTGAAGCTGCCCCGAGCCCAAAGAGTATGTATTACAGAAGAAGAGTATCAGCAACTCGTGACTTCCCCCCATTTTGTGGTAGGAATGCTCCGCAGCCGGCTGCGGAAGATTGTTTGAGGATTAATTCCAGGAACAGGAGTTTGGATGTTGCAATAAGGTTTGGTGTGGGAATGACATTGAAGGACGATGTCAAAATTGAGGCTGTGGAGAAACTTTGAGGGGTGGTTTGAAAGATGGGCCAGCGAGAGCGAAAGAGACATTGAAGGCTAGTGTGAAACGTGGATCAGAGACAGTGGCATTGAAAAATGGTATTGAAGAATTGTATAGGGATGTTGGAGATGGTTATTTTGAGAAGAATCGATTGAAAGGAATTGTGCCTGAGCAAAGGAATAACTACAAGGCTGCAATTGGAAAGAGTAACGAGGATGCTAGTGGTTCACTGGGGGAACTGAGGAAGAAGATCACAGGTCTGATGGTTGCACCATTTTGTCGATGGAGGCAGGGGAGAGGGGCCTTAACTACTTCAGACAGTGTTATGAGTAGAGGTAAAGTAAACAAGCATGGTTTCACCACTCAACCGAAGTCAATACTTGTTAGCAGGAGTAATTATGAAACCCATCATGGAGGTGGAAAATCTATGAAAGAGAAATCAGTTACTGCTGCTAAGGCTGCTTATGAAAGTACTGGTACATTGGTTGTCAGGGATGAAGAAGATTCTGTTGTCCATTATGAAGAAAAACTTGTAGATTATCCTGTTGGTCAGATGCCAAATGATGTTGAGGTGAGCCTGCCTCCTTTTGGTCCCAATAGTTCAAGTCACGGTGATGCGCGGGACAGAGTAAGAGAGACTCTCCGTCTATTCCAGGCTATATTTAGGAAGCTCTTGCAAGGAGAAGAAGCAAAGTCAAGGCAAGGACGGGAAATAAAATTGAAGCGGAAAGAAACAGAAGGGAAGTTTAGGATTGATCTGCTAGCAGCAGGTGTTATCAAACGGAAACGTAAAGAAGTTAACACAAGCAGCCAAATTTTGGGAGCAGTCCCTGGAGTTGAAGTAGGCGACGAATTTCAGTACAGGGTGGAGCTTGCTATTATTGGTGTTCACCGGCTTTACCAGAGCGGTATAGATTACATGAACCATGATGGAGTAATTGTTGCGACTAGTATTGTTGCTTCGGGGGCTTATGCTGATGATCTGGACAATGCCAATGTCTTAATATACTCTGGGCAAGGAGGAAATGTAGTACGGAAGAATAAGGAACCTGAAGACCAGAAGCTTGTAAGAGGAAACTTGGCTTTGAAGAATAGTATATCCGTAAAGAATCCCGTGCGGGTGATTCGGGGATCTAAAGGAACAAAAGCTTCTGACTCCTTGGATGCAAGAGCTAAGGTAGTTAAATCATACGTCTATGATGGTCTTTACACAGCGGAAAAGTACTGGACAGAGACGGGGCCACATGGTAAGCTGGTTTTTATGTTTGTGTTGAGGAGAAATGCCGGGCAACCAGAGCTTGCTTGGCAACAAGTTAAGAAGTCAAACAAATATAAAATACGGGAGGGACTTTGCGTTGATGATATATCAGGAGGTAAAGAGTCATTTCCTATAGGTGCCGTGAACACAGTAGACAGTGGTAAGCCCCCGACATTCAATTATGTTACTAGGATGAGATATCGTGATTGGTACTGCCCCATTACTCCTAAGGGTTGTGACTGTAAGGGTGGATGCTCTGATTCTCAGAAATGCTCGTGTGCAGTCAAGAATGGAGGAGAGATTCCATACAACTATAGTGGGGCTATTGTTGAAGCTAAGCCCCTCGTATATGAGTGTGGTCCTTCTTGCAAGTGTCCTCCTTCTTGCTATAATAGAGTCAGCCAGCATGGTATTAATATTCAGCTGGAAATCTTCAAAACTGAGTCAAGGGGATGGGGTGTCAGATCACTGGCTTTTATTCCTTCAGGAAGTTTTATATGTGAGTATGCAGGAGAGCTTCTTGAAGACAAGGAAGCTGAACAAAGAATTGGTAATGATGAATATCTTTTCGATATCGGGCAAAACTACAATGACGGTTCCCATAATCTTGATGCTCACTCGAGTTTGTGCATGGTTATGGAGGATGGCGGCTATACAATTGATGCAGCACAGTATGGAAATGTGGGGAGGTTTATCAATCACTGCTGCTCACCTAACCTTTATGCTCAGAATGTTCTTTATGATAATGAAGACAGAAGAATGCCCCACATAATGCTCTTTGCTGCAGAGAACATTCCTCCCTTACAGGAGCTGACTTACCATTACAATTATTCTGTGGATCAGATTCATGATTCAAATGGTAACATCAAGATGAAAAGCTGCTATTGTGGTTCTGCACAGTGTACGGGCAGGATGTATTAGGGTGTCTGCAGAAGAAGTTTGGATCCTGAAAAAGAATTTTTTGGTTTCTCAATGTGTGTTTCCTTTTTGGTGACTTCGTTATTCTAACTTTATTGTTTAAACATTTGGAATTATTTAAAGCACTTACTGCAACCTACATGTGCGTACTAGCACAATTACTATCACCATATTCATCAACATAAACATGGCACTACAATCCTGAGGTGTCTAATGAGAGAAAAACTTAAATATAGCAATGCAGGCACGCGTACCATATTTTCATAGGCAACCACTGATTGTATCTATATGTCTGTTGATGCATTTTTACCAGTGATTAATCAGGTTTGACTTAGTTTTTGCACCTCCACACATTCATTTTGGGAGAGAGAGCATCTTGCCTCTTGGGCATGGCATAACTTAGGCTGCAGCTGTCTGATACTGATCGCAAGCCCATCTACAAGATTGGTTTTTATCATAAGGACTGTGGGGGATTTATCCGCGCGTTCGGGATGTTCTCCCCCCCACCGAAGGATTATGGCTGACCTGGCGTAAGCCTACGCTTTGTGCCAGTAGCCTTTTAACCTCTCAATGCCCGTAGGCTGGCGGGGGTGGGGGAGACGACTCTCAATCAATGTGGGATGGCACAGAGCGTAGGCTTACGCCAGCCTACGGGCATTGAGAGGTTAAAAGGCTACTGGCACAAAGCGTAGGCTTACGCCAGGTCAGCCATAATCCTTCGGTGGAGGGAGGACATCCCGAACGCGCGGATAAATCCCCTACAAGGACATTGTACAATTTTTGCATTGCCATTTGATAGGGAGACACGGTCCTTATATTCTTTCTTTTGAGGTGGCTTGGTTGGATGCAAGGTCCATTATGAACATATTACTGAGGGTGTGAGACCTGTGGCTAATTTCTTTTATGTTGTTGAGTAGTAGACTTTGTAAACCCTTCTTTTCCACAGAAATATATAAGGAATTCATCTGGTAGAACATGATGCGGAAGAAGAAGAAACCATCTATTATTGCGCTCTTCTTCCTTGATAGTGGAAGTTTATGTTGCTTTCCTTGAGATCTTCCTCTATTTTTTTTCACTTTTAAGGAAAATCCTGTTTTTTTNTCTATTATTGCGCTCTTCTTCCTTGATAGTGGAAGTTTATGTTGCTTTCCTTGAGATCTTCCTCTATTTTTTTTCACTTTTAAGGAAAATCCTGTTTTTTTTTGGATAGAAAACAGAAACTCTTGTATTAAAATAGNTTCAAGGAAAATCCTGTTTTTTTTTGGATAGAAAACAGAAACTCTTGTATTAAAATAGAAAGTGGAGGAAAATCCTATTTTGTCAATGTATGGATACAGTAGTCTTATTATTTTCGCCATTGTCAGAATTATGAATAGTTATTTGTGTTTTTTTCTCATATGAAGAGAGGAAGATTATCTAGTGTTGATGGACCAATGTGAAATGGCACTATGCAAGGATGGATTGGCATAGGCTTAAACTATTGCATTGTCTACTATTGTTTGACAAGTTGCCAATCTTGTTTATTGTTTATTTCTTTAATTTAACTTTAATTTTCTGGTAATAGCCAATCTTGTTTACATTCCGAATGATGTGGAATCTTGTGTATGTTTCCTTATTTGGTGGCTGTCCTTTTTACAATATGAACTGATAGTTTACATAACTTGCTCGGTTTTTGCAGGAAGTTTATGTCTCCCCCTCTTCATCAAGAAGATTTGGCAATGGTTATCATTTCCATGATCAAGCTTTATTTTGCAGAAGCATAAAACAGCAGAGGCTGAAAAAAGGATTGGAAGTTTTGTTTCTTGTCTGTTGGATCAGGTAATGCACTTTTGTGAATAGATGTTGGCTACCTTTTGACTTTCGCTTCTGAGCATAATCATCTGTAAATAGACTTACTTTGCCTTAGCTTGAACTCAATAACATTAGCTGTTAAGAATCAAGCGGATGGATCCATGTTGACATTGCCACTTTTTTTAAACATTCAGTCCAATGGCCCATTACATCAGGGTATATTTGTACATTGGTGACTAAACATTCAGTCCAATGGTCCATTACATCCCTCCGAAATCATGTAGCATAATAGTATATTGTATTGTGTACACTGCACATACTCCTGTTAAAACCTGCCAATGGATCGAATTTTGATTTGGATTTGAATCTGATTACTAGGTATGAATTGTTTTTTTGATAATCCGGATAGGGTATATCATGTTTTACGAATTCGGATTAGAATATCATAGTATCCAATCCAATTCTAGCCTGATCTGAATTATATTTATATGGATATGAATGCGTGATAAATTTGAGTGATTGGTTTGATCAAATTGAGTTCAAATTCATATTTAATTGTTGAAATTGAGTTCAATTGAGTCATCTAGATCAGATTAGTTTCTAGTTTTAGAACATTCGGATATGGACGTTGGAAATGAAATCCTTCAGATAATTGGCTCAGATTCGGATCGGAATTTCTACATCGAATTTGGACCGGTCGAAATCCGATCAGTTGAGAGTCTACCCAGCTTGGGTCATAGGCTAGAAGAGAGAATTCATTTTGTAATGGTTAACTCCCGAAATGACATCACTATGCAGAACAGAAAAAGGCGGTACGTTCAAGTTTGCTTGAATTATTTTATATGTCCTTTCCACTCTAATCTCATATGCATCTAATAATTTTCTTCAACAGCAGCCAAAATATCTTAGCTAAAACTTTATTTATCCTCACTAAACAAAGTACAATCTGACCATTTATTGAGCAAACCTAGAGCACTAACCCAAACACTGCTTCCAAATCAAAGACACAACACTCCTAGGAAGTAAATAATTTGTAGTTCAATTCATAGCTAGATATGTAGATATTGGGATTTAATGGAGCTTTTAAGTAAGCTGAATCGCAGTGTCATAAGCAACCCCAGCCTTCCATTCACTTGGAATCACACTACTTGGCTGCANCATAGCTAGATATGTAGATATTGGGATTTAATGGAGCTTTTAAGTAAGCTGAATCGTAGTGTCATAAGCAACCCCAGCCTTCCATTCACTTGGAATCACACTACTTGGCTGCACCCACTTCACTTCTCCATAGCCACTCACTTGAAACCTCAAGGTAAGTGCACCCAGCGGTGGGTTCTGCATGTCCCATACTGCACCATAGGCATTACGCATGGCCCTCCACGCCTTGCAATCCTCCTGCATCATTAAGAAAAAGGACCCAATTTAGTGAGACATAACTTCTCTCTGTCCACCACATTAGGATTGTTAGGTAGGACTTGGTGGGGGGTGCAAATGAAATGAACCGAGTCGAGCACTAGATTGTTCTGCTCGTTTGTTTACAAATATTGATTAGGCTTGGCTCAGCTCGGCTTGTAGCTCATGGCAAGTTTTGATATCTTATTGAAGTTCAGCTCTTCAGTGTTTGGTTTAAGTTTGGACTTTGCTCGGATTGTCTGGTTAAGCAAATAGCTTGTGTTGAAACTCAAGTGTAGGCTTGTGCTCTAAATCAGACTGGACTCCTCTCTATCCATATATTATAGTACATAATACCATATATGACATAATATGTACAAAAAATATTTAGTTTGATTACATAATATCTATTACATAGTGGTCCGAACAAGCACCGTGCTGGACTTGGGTCATTTATTAAATGAGTTTTGAAGTTAAGCTCGAGTTCAGTTCATTTGATGAATGAACAAACTTCTATCCGAGTCTTTCCCCTTTTTTTCATGAACAACATAGTTTATTTGAGTAGGTTCCTTATGCAGTTTTAGCAGAATTGTTTATTGGACTATACCTGCCACACTTGGACTGCTATGACATCATTTACACCAGCTTGATACAGCATCACTATGGCCAGATACTCAGGGTACTTGCTGTGCTCATGGATTTTGAACATGAGATTGTAACCTGCATATTGGCAAGGAATTCTTCTGTATTCTACATCAACTACCCCATATGAGAATAGCTCTAAGGCCATGTTTGGACGAGCCAGTTTTGCGTAGGCACGTAAACTGAGGATAAAGTCTGTGTTGTCTCCTTCACCGTAGTCTGTCACCACCACCTTTGTCCCTTCGTCGCTGCAATGCTGTGGCACCTTGCACCTAACCTGAAGTATCAATAGATCACTTGAGTTGGTCAAACTCGGGTTTTATACAACGAGGAGACTCGAACGTATGAGTTTATGTCCTCCTCTTTATTCGACCACTAAACCAACTAGTGGCTTTGCTTGTGACTTTCATGTCAGAATGAAAACTATGTTGCTTGGGGTTTACCTGATAGCATGCACCACAACCAGTTCCATTCCTGTAAAGCCTAGAGACTCCAGTCACTTCAGCATTATTCACAGTTTTCCCATATTCACCAAACCCGCAAGCTCCAGCTGACATATATACATGTATCATTAGCCTACATACACATTTAAATATGCTGATATGCATGCATGTAGAATAAAAAGAGGAGAGAGAGAGAGAGCATACTAGGAGTTCCTAAGCAATCAGGACTACCATAATAGGTTGCTCTAGAGGAGACATAAGTGTATTGGCTATAACACAGTGCAGGCAAAAGCACTATGACAAAGAGGAGAGAGATGCAGTTTCTAAGTGCCAAACCCATGTTTAAGGCAACACCAATTTCTATAACAATTCTAGGAGAGAAGAGTTGCAGGATGGAAAGCTCAGAAGTGGAAATCCATATTTATAGATGAGGTTTTGCCAGTATGCATCGAGAGTAACAGGGCATTTTGCCACCTTTTTCCTTCCACTAAGCACTTGGGAACTCAAGTGGGAGTTGGGATTAGAGTGGAGATGTGTCCAAACAGACACCGTAATTGACTCCTTAAGACAATCTTAGAATTCTTAGTTTATTCACACACACACCCCAACACAGAGATATATGTATATATATATATACACACAAAAAATAGCATTTTCGAGTCACAAATGAAGTTTGCCAAACTTTTTGTACCTTCTTTACATTTTTTTTTGATAAGCTTATGGGTCGTGCATATATATATTATTGATCCGACGGTCTTAATGCGAAATTCTTTACCACCAAATTTTTTAAATAAGATTTTATTCCTTTCACAATTCTAAAACTCATATCTCTCTAATAACTCTCTCTCTNGCTCGTGCATATGTATATTATTGATCCGACGGTCTTAATGCGAAATTCTTTACCACCAAATTTTTTAAATAAGGTTTTATTCCTTTCACAATTCTAAAACTCTTATCTCTCTAATAACTCTCTCTCTATCTTATACTACACATTAATTAGATTGTTAATTATAATTATATATAATTAAGGATTATTTTTAAAAATTTCAAATAAACAAATGAACTTTAAATACAAATTTTTTGCGTNGGTCGTGCATATATATATTATTGATCCGACGGTCTTAATGCGAAATTCTTTACCACCAAATTTTTTAAATAAGATTTTATTCCTTTCACAATTCTAAAACTCATATCTCTCTAATAACTCTCTCTCTATCTTATACTACACATTAATTAGATTGTTAATTATAATTATATATTAAGAATTATTTTTAAAAATTTCAAATAAACAAATGAACTTTAAATACAAATTTTTTGCGTCAAAATAAGTTGAATGACTATAATATAGGTCATATTTTGCATTAAAACAAAAATAATATAATATTTAAATGGTATAATAGGCGAATAATGTATATGTAATTTGTGACATATTTATATACTAAGGGAGGTAGCTTTGTTTGTCTTGAGTTTTTCAAGGATCAAATTGTTTTAAGATTATTGATTAAACGATCGAAATTCCTCCAAATTTTTTTTCTCCCNTCAAATGGTATAATAGGCGAATAATGTATATGTAATTTGTGACATATTTATATACTAAGGGATGTAGCTTTGTTTGTCTTGAGTTTTTCAAGGATCAGATTGTTTTAAGATTATTGATTAAACGATCGAAATTCCTCCAAATTTTTTTTCTCCCAAAAATTATAAGAATCATTTCATTTTACTAAATTATCGGTTTGAAGTGATTATGATTAAGATTCGAATTGAGCTAAATTTAATTATCAAATATAAAGTATATTTTCTTGTTTAAACTTAAATAATAATTAGTTTGTAGGCTTAAGATAGAAGTGTTAATTGAGTCAAACCTCAATTCAATTTTTTGTTTGACATAATTATGATTAAAACTCGAATCGAGCTAAATTTGACTGTCGAGTATAAAGTAAAAATTATTACTTAAATTTAAATTCAATTAAATTTTACGAATATTTAAGTTGAACTCAAATAGAAACTGATCTTAATTTTTTAACAATTTTTTTTTACATGTACGAGAATTCGCATGAAATTTTTGGATATTTTCTTTACAAAAGTTACACGTACTCACGTTGGAAAAAATGGTATAAAGATAATATTATAAACTTTAGGTATAAAATTACATAAACATAAATAGATACTTTTTTTGAAATTTGAGATAAAACTTATTATAAGTTTTTAAATCATGGATGTTTGATCAATAATAATTATATTTTCTCATATTTTTGAATTAATATGTTGTAGTAATTATAACGTAACTTTCGTTATATAAAAGTTTGATTATATATATTCTGCATACATGTTAGATAATATAAATTTGATTGTTGTATTATACATTTTTATTTATGAAGAAATATTTATATTTTTTTATAAGTAATATAGTGCCTTTAGATACGGACAATTAGTAGTATATATAAATATATTTGGTAAGTACTTTTGTGTTCTTAGGTGACCTGGTTCACCCAAACAGTTCGACAATAATTATAATAACGTTGTCGGAATGATATTAATTGCGATATAATAAAATTAATATTTTATGTCAATTTTTTAAATCTCAATAATATTATATTGTCCTTTGAGAGTGAACACGAAATGTATGAGTCCCCGGCTCTTCGGCTAATCCCCCAATACTAATCGAACGTTTTGAGTATGAATCTTATTATTGGGTCGGGGTCATGTCATCCCCCATCCGGAATAGAGAATAATATTTATACTATCTGTTGTGGGTCCTTGGAAAAGAAAAATCTCCGGTTATTCGATTCCCATGTGGTACACCTTTCATAATAAAAACTCTTATTTAATGATGAAGTTGATGAGTCCTGCACTGTAATGGCAGCTAATTTGCCATGGGCAGCTAACAAGTGGATGAACCCACCAGCACCAAAGAGGAGTGTTAGGTTATAACCCACAATAGCTCTGCCAAATCAGGTAATGCAACGAAGGTAGGCAGTCAAATCAGGTTAGCGTAGCCTCCTTTGCGTCTATAATGTCTGGATTAGTACACTACAATATTAGGGGTGAAAGCACTCAAACTATTGTTTGCTATATTTCGTTATATAACCCATAAAAAAATATTATTTAAATTTAATTTATTAATTTTATTTATGGACTTAATGTATTAATAGCAGGTCCTAATCAATAATAGGATCTACTTTAAATTCAATGACCGAAAGTGATTAGGTTAATAAATAAAGTAGTGACTTGATATTGACAAGCGATCCCAATTTACGACGGAGAACAAGACACCGAGTGAGCATACCTTTGTTTGCTTTTTTTCCACCAAGTACGGAAGTTTAAAAGATAATTGTGAGTCGGTGGTTTACTTCAAAAAATTCCGATTAATATGAAATTCGATCAAACACAATCACATGAAAAGAATTGTTCGATTGGACTTTAGTTACATATGAATTTCAAGGCATCATTTTTGCATGGATTAAACTCTAGTACACATGATGTGACATCTAGAAGTTGACAAAAAATTCAATCCTCTGGAATTGAGTGGAACTCGAGTGTATCAAGTTCAATTCCATATGGTAGCACGGTGAGAAATACACAATCAAATCCTAACAACTCAATCTTACCCTGCGATTGTATTGTTTTGGGCTTTATCCTTTGATGTTTGACCCAACTTCAAACGATCTCGGTGTGGTCGACAGTCAAGTAAAAGTGTATTCTTTTGAAATTTCTACGAGAGAGAGAGAGAGAGATCTATACATTTTGCAAATGGGGTAGGTGACTTGTGATATTAGCCATCCATTTGGCAGCTATATAGCAAAAAGTTTCAGCTATACAATATTCAAAAATTATTTTTTAGTCTCATTAAAATTTAGGTCTTACCCAATTTGCTTGTATTGTTATAAACAAACGTCTTGAATTTACTTTTTTTTCTTTTCTTTAGTTAAGAGCATTTGCCACAGCTTTTAATGGCCATTAAAAGAGGTCTGAGCTCTTTTTGCAAATGATACCACATCAGCACATAAGCCAATAACTATCCAAGTAAAGTTCATTTTGTCTATTTGAAATTTTATTATTGATTACTAATATCATATCATCAATACTGATATAATATCACCGTTGCATTGAATATTTTCCCGAGCTCCCATATCTCGGCCCTTGCTAGGGAATGGTTAAGGCGTTTGCTCAGTTAATGTGCTTTCATTTTTCATTTCATGTGCAATTCTGTCTGACAATCGGACAAGGGAAAAAAAGGTGCTTATTCAATTAAGATTCTTTTATTAAACCGCAAAACAGATGACTCTCGAGACGTTTCTAGCTGAGAGAGAGACTCCCATGGGTATTGCACTGGCTACCAACATCACCCTTTCTATTAATGGGTCCTAAACACAACTAAAATGATGGAGACTGTTGGCAATGGTGGGCAAGCATATGTGGTTCACATTATCGTAGCCGTTACTTATCATCTCCTTCTTACACTTGTGTCAACGGGATGAAGGGAGAAGAACATGAAGTAGTGGGGGAATAAAGACAAGCAACAATCACACAGCTAACCCACAATACCTATTCTCAAATCAATACAAACCCAGCAACTATAAAAGAACAATAAAAAAAAAGTGGTGCAAGGTGTAAAGTATAAATACCATAAAGTCGAACCAGCTACTTCACACTTTCCACGACTCTAAACAATAGAGAGAAGCAATGATTATACAGGAGTGAGTATGAAAAGAAAAAGCAACTACAATTCTGAAATCTATGGATGCTCATGCAATGCAAATTATGAGTTGAAAATAAGAGTGATCGCCAGTTTGTAAACAAGAAGAGGTGAATGATTAGTATTGGAAGCATTGACACAGTGAAGTCATAGACAGATGTTACTATCACTCCACTTAAAGCGATGCTCGTTATCTGACCCAGTGTAAGAAACCCTTACCTAAGGACTGTTGAAATTTTTCCTATGACTTTTATTAATTGATAGTTAATTTTTTACTTGTAAAAACGAGTTGAATTTATGGTCCAATGAGATGAGGCTAATATTATTAAGTGATCTATTTTGATGGACTTATGTACATCTTTTAATTGATGTGGTTGATGTGTTTAAATGTAGACCTTAATCTAATTGTGGCCCGTAATGGGAGAGTCCATTAGATTTCATTATAAATAGCAGGTTAGGTCTACTCTCCACTTCATAACTTTAATTTGACTTGTCCCATTGAGAGCCACATATTGTTTTAAAGAATGAGAGAAAGACCTTGCCTTTCTACGAAAGAAACTTGAAGATCAAATATCATAAGTCATACAAGTATGTTCTAAATCTTGAATTTAAAATCTAAATTTTGTAATTTAGGTGTTCTAAAT